ATGACACCACTGAATCAAGAGACAAAGCCTAGGAGGTGGTGGATAAAATGTACAATTCGAGCAGCTAGAGGAGGCTAGCCAGCGTGGGGTTGTGGGGCGCTCTGGGGTCGCCCTCCATCCCCTCCAGGGCAGTGGGCACAGCTCCTAGGGAAGCGCACACTCTGGTCCTCTTGCCGTGGCCCCGTGGGGACAGCTCTCCATGGTGCCACCAGTCTCGTTGAGCGACTCTTTACCAAGCCTCACTGCAGTTCATTTCATCATTAAAGTCATTAATTATCTTTTTACATCACAGAACTAATTGGATAACTAAGACAAGTTCAAAATCCTTTAAAACCATACAGAAATCAGAATTGGTGTAATTAGGCTTAATTTGTAAGGGAGCAAAGAAAACAAAGCTATGTGGCTCATTTACATGGAGGTTAAAAATGACCTTGTCAGTCTACTGGCCTGATGGGAACCAAGAAAGCCAAGAACTTTCTGGCTTATTTTCTCCCCCTGCTTTCTGCCCAGCAGTAGACAAGACTCACTTTTCCTGCCAGTTCTGCTTACACTCAGAAGGAGGTAAGGATCTAAGATATCTGGGATGATCTGATTTGCTATAGGGGAAGTTTTATGTTAAATACATAACAGTACCTCAGTAGTGGTTATTAACTGGTTCCAGGAGGCAAGAGGAGTATTAAAAATGAGTACCAAATTGTTTTGGCTGCAAAAGGTGGTAGGTCCCAAGGCAACTGATATCCACAAGTTCTAGCCTGTGTGTCCAGTCACAAACGACAAATACAGGGACAAAATTTTTGTGTCAAATGCCCAGGACCAAATTTGACCAGTGTGAAAGCAGTGGAGGACCAAGGTATAACTGAACATGTCCTTTACTCCACTGTGCTCACCAAACAGGACCCTTAGAGCCCCTGAACAGCCTCAGGTATTGAATCTATTTATGGGTTGTTGTGGAGGAACTCCTGACAGAATGAAAAAAGAAAAGGGAGGGCTAGAGTTTCAATTCTTTTTCTCTATCCATACTTGCTCAAAGACTATTTCAGGGAGGATTACAGCGAACAGAGGGATAACACTGTCTGGATAAAAGTATTTGCGGCTTGCCTGACATGTTTCATATTCATTTAAAAGTCTGACTGCAGCCAGATGTCCCACAATGATGATAAATTTAATTTATTTCCAATTTCTGAAACTCTTCTACAGATTCAGGCAGCACAGTCACAGCCATTAGCTCACTGAGCCTGGGTGCATCACTGAAGGAATGGAATTGATCAGGCAGATAGATTGCTGCACATGGTTAAGAGTCTCCTAAGAAGGGAGATGGCAGAAATCCAGACATCAAATAGATGATGAAATGGCCATTTCCATTAAGGGAACATCACATCACAGATATTAATTAGGAGGCACTATAATAGAGTTAAGTGGATGTGGGAAAAATGCCGAGTCAAAAGTCACCCCAAATGTCCTTAGCTTGAGGTAATTATAGATGTGAAAGTGAGTCATGGATCTGCATTTTTCTAGTCAGTCTATTACAATGGCTGCAGGTAAGTTAGAATTCAAAGATTAACTCCAAAGTGATCCTTTTTCAGGGAGGGGACAAACTATCTTTAAAAAAAGGAGAAACAGTCAATGCTTTCCTTTTAACATTCCCAGAGAAAATGACAGCTTTTATTTATAGTAATGTTAACGGCAGATGACTAAGAAAAATGAAGCAAATGAAACAAATCAGCTTTGAGTTTAAGTGCCCAACATCCCACTAAGTTTTTAATTTCAAGGATGTAAATTCACTTTAAAAACTGGTAAGATATTTTCTTCTGAGTCTTTAGTTCAAGTCTAGCTGAAGTACTAAAAAGACACCAAAATGATGAGGACAGACTCCTAACCTTCAAAGCTCTCTAAAAGCGAGTTAAGACAAATCTTCAGAGGATTTAGTTGCCCAAAAATGGCTTTATGCCCGTTTTCATTTTCTGTTTTGT